CAGTTACTTCCTGTATGTGTAACAACGAATTCATAAACTCTTTAGAATACAAAAATGAGTACTCCTGAATAAACTGTAACTACAATATGTATTTCCTAAGTTAAGGATCAAATGCCAAAGGGAATCTCTTTCCAATGTCACGATATGACAAGATTTTTCCCAACTCAAGTACAACAAGCAATTTCAAGGCCAAGGAAAGAAAACACAACTGTTACGGGTATTACTTCACACACACAAATTACTAAATTAAATACAGCATTAAATATGCTTGCTTAGTTATACTGGGAACGGTCATAATACTGATGATGCTAGTGAAAAAAGCATTACCTTTAGCTCCAGAAGGTTAGAGGGGAAAATACAAGCAGAAAGCAAACAGAATTGGTCATTTTCTGATGAAGAAAATATTTTTTAACAGATATATAAAAAGAAACATACTCTTGTATTTCCCCTAGTGGAAATAGTATGAAACATTTATTTGATATTTTGGACAAGAACAGAGCTAAGTAACCCAACTCTACTGTGGCTTAGAAAAAAGATCACTCCTTCAGCACAGTGTAAGATTTAAATGCAAACTGTACAGGGGTACACAGTATAGAAAACATGGCATAAGACTGCTGCTGTCCTCCCAGTACTTCCAGGCCCTAACCAGATCATATTCAAATACTGGTGGTCCCAGTAGTTATACTGAAATAAATCATCTTAAAAAAGAAATCATTAAGAAGCCAAATCAAAATGCCTTAGTAACCATATATCTAACTCAAACTTTATCTTCTTAAATGAGATTTGCTTCCCACCCAAAAAAACTTCATTTTATTCCTACTAAATTCATAAATGCTCATACGTAAGTATCTTCCTTGCCCAGTAATTCAAAGGGAAAAAAATCTAAAAATGATTTTTAAAAAATGTAGGGGTTGATAGACCTTCTAAGTTTTAAATATGTTTTAAGGTTTAAAAAGTGTTTAAGGGCCGGAGATCTAGCTCAGTGGCACAGTACCTGCCTGACAAGAGTGACATACTGAGTTCGATTCCTGGTACCAAAAAAAAGTGTTTAAGGTTTGTAATTCCTAGTAGGAAAACATCATCTGAATGAGTACCCTAATGGAAAACCTTTGTGAAACACTTCAGCCGCACCTGGCGAGGAGGGGAGGGGCCGTCTCCCCAGCACCCAGCTCTCCTGATGAGGCCAGAGGCACACTGGCTCGTATCACTGCAAGGTCCATTAAGTGGTCGAGGCTGCTGTTCTTTTAGGAAGGGCTTTGTCAGGTAAGCATTAGGCTTGACCTCCAAATCTGGCTGACAATTTACTGATGAGATTCATAACCTTTGGATTACTCTGATATTTTGACATATTTGCAGGATTCTGAGCCACATCCTGGAAGGCCACCATAACTTCTGGGTCCTGCATGGCTGCAAGGACCTCTGGATCACTAAGAATCTCATTGAGTCCAGGCATTCCTGCCATGCCCGCTCCCATCCCAGGCCTTCCTCCTGGGAAATTACCAGGCATGGCTCCAGGAAAGCCACCTGGAAAGGAGCCATACTGAGCTCCTGATTGTCTTCTGGCTTCTTCCTCCCTCTGGGCTTTTTCATGCTCTTCTCGAGCCTTCTTAACTCTTTCTATTCTTTCTTTGATCTCTCGTTCTTCACGTTTTCGCTCATACTTTCTCCGACGTTCAGCAATTTTCTGCGCCCTTGGCTGAACTTCTTTAAGCATTGCACTTGCATCCTCATCATAATCCAGTTTACAAGCAAGGGCAAGATCATGGGCTGCTTCTTCCCAATGGCCCAGAAGTCTGTGTGCTTTCCCTCGCCACTTGTACGGTTGGGCTGAATCAGGATTTATTTCAATGGCTCTGTCATAGTCTCGAATGGCAGCATTTGGCTTCTGCAATTTGATGAAGACACTGGCTCTCTTGGCATACAGAATGGCCAAGCGAGGATTCAGCTTGATGGCATC